CCATTATATACCTTTATCTGATTCAACCCTCCCGTTCATACAACGAACATTCCGAATCACGTACACAGTTTCAGACCGGATCACGAAACCCTTTTTACGAGTCCATTATATACCTTTATCTGATTTAACTTTATCGCGTATTTGGAAGATAACTAGATCACGCACAACTTTTAGATAATGGAACACGCACGGATGTTGATTGATGACGAAACACGAATCACGGATTATTTAACAAAAACATTATTTTTCAAAAATAAGAAAAAAAAGATAAAAGACATTTTTTCCGGTAACAGCAACAAAGCGGCTGGCCACCATGTTGGATTTTCGCTCGAGGTGATTATCGTGTGATAGTGTGAGTTTCTTGACCAAACAGCGCGCGAGATTTTCTATAGTCACCTGCGTATTTTTACTAATGTGAATTATTTCACGTATCGCGCACATATCTCTTTCACGAAAACTTCTCGCGCTCAAGAATCACTTCTAATGAAATTGCTTCAGTCTTTGCTTAAACCTTGTTCAGTCTTCTGGTAAAGTTTCAGCGAGATTTGAGGCCGTTTAGAAAGAGAAGAGCAAATTTTGAAAAACCCCACTAAACAACCCCAAATCGCGCTGAAACTTCTCCAGAAGACTGATCAAGGTTCAAACAACGACTGTGCAGCACGTTTTGAAGCAAATCGTTGAGTGAAACATTTTATTGTCATATCTTCATCATAACTCCCATACATTCCCTTATAAACCATACACAGGAACCTTGTTTGGGCTGCATGTGATTCAGTAGTGAATAATTCGGGTCTTCTGCGTCATACATAAATCTTATCTTTGACACCTCTAAGAATTTTGGAATAAATTATACGAACGGGAAGCGAGGGGAGAAGAGAGAACATCAACGGTGTTAGCAGAAAATTTAAAAATGTATGATACAAATTTAGTCTTTAATCTTTCCAATTTTAAATATGTGTCGCCCAACTCTACCGCAGAAATTCTCTATTTAAAGCTTCACAATCTTGGTTTAATAGATGTTTAGATATATTTTAAAGGTACATAAGTAAATGAAATGATTACTACACGAAGTGCGAACATGTCATAGCTGTTTTCTAGATAATTGGGACTTGCTTCTGTTTTAGTACAAGAAATAGCTTACATTAAGAGATAAAAGGATCGAGTCGAGATGATATTATATAGGTACTGTTATCTGTGGGTTAACATGGGAAAAGTGGTGTTTGACGAGGATTAAAATCTGTAATCTCTGCTCTTGCCCGGAGAGTTTTGGAACTAGAGAAGCGGTTTTCTTCCGTCTGGAAATCGCTAATAGACAACTTGATCAGTTTTGAAACGGTGAAAGCAAATAAATAAATAATTAATAAATAAATAATTAATAAATAATAAAAAAAGGTGGGAAGGGAACGGGAAAAAGAGAGAGAAAGACAAAAGCAAAGAAAGTTAAAAAGATAACTAGGACGAGAAAGAGATCAAAAGAGAGAAAGAGAGAGAGAAAAACAAGACAATAAAAGTAGAAAAAGATGGAAATTAAAAAAAAAAAAAAAAGAAGAAGAAGAAGAAGAAGAAGAAGAAGAAGAAAAGTTGAAGCCACAACAAGAAGAAAAAAATTAAAAGGGAGAATAATTACTCCACTTTTTGGGAAAGAAAAAAAGAAAGATAGAAATTTCGCTATTTTTTCATATATGTATATATTTTATTAATATATGTATTTCCCAAATTCAACTTTTCACCTGCAGTTATATATATGAACTACTTTAATTTTGACTCCGTTTTTGTAAGTTAAATCAATTCTTACTTATATTTTGATTCGTCTATCTCTAATCCAAGCTCTAACCATACAAGGCTTTCATTCGAATTGCTCATTTTAAGTCTGGCCTTTGAGACTCAATTCCGCCAAAACGTTTAGCCTGCTATCTTAAGGCGCATTTTACGTCCGACAATGGTTAGAATATTTTCTTACTCCAGAATGGCTAGAGTATTGTTTAAGCATCAATAAGAGTTTACAATTAGGAATTTTTTGGAAATCTTGCCAGAAAGTCTAGTCTGAAAGTTAATAAGGCAGTTTTGTTTTTGTATTTGCTTTTCATTCCTTTATTCTATATCACTGACTAAGCATGCTAAGAGAGCTATGAATACAAGGTAGCCAATCAGAATGCAGGATTTAATTAAGTTTGCTCTTTCCAAATATATATATACATGGTAATCAAAAATTATCTCTTAAACTATTTTAGCACATCTGCTAACAAATATTGGTTATAAAAATACATTATTATCGTAAACGAAATCTTTTTGACTCCAAAAACGCTACCGGCGAAGCACGTACCGGTTTTGCGGGAAAATAGCATTTGGTTTCATGTTAAAATGAGTGCGAAGACAATTATCGTTAACACCACACCTTAGGGGATTCTTTGATGGACAGTTACTGGAAGATAAGTATTTTGAGATGAATTTTATGTCTTTTATATTTCAATAGTAAGAACGTGTTTGAAGACATGAGGATATCATTCGAGTGTCATAGAATGGCATTAGCGAAGCGACCCATTATTGTATGAAATAGTAAAATTATTGATTGCTCCCGAGGCTGAGATTCCTGATATCTAATATTCATACAATAACTTTTTTTCAAGAGGAGAGCGCATTATTAAACCACTCCAGGTTTTCTTCGTAGTTTCCCGCGAGTTTTCAAGGCCAGGAGGCCGCCATGTTTTTTTTTTCTCTGAATGGCATGGGCACGAGCTCTGTCATTGGTCAATTATTCCTATTCTGATTCTTCTGATCATAAGTGTCATAATCAGAAAGCGGAATCGTGACTAAAGAAAACGCTCGCGATTCCGATGCTCCTCTGTTTCCGATTCCGTGTCCGATCATTTTAGTTCACACTGGTCATAAGCTCTAATTATCGATGCGATTCCGATTGCGATTCCGACGCTAGTGTGCATCAAGCTATATTTGGAATTTTTTTTGAAAAATAGGATAGAGAATGGAGAGAGAAAAAAGGCCGGGGACAGTGGAAGGGAGAGGTTTCTGAAGGTAAAATAAATGAGACACTATGTTCAGCAAGGGTGGGGAAAAAATTGGTAAACTAGCTGTTGGCATATTGCAAATAATTAAAAGTGCTGCGAGTATGCAACGTTCGAGTAAGAGTTTGAAAAAATAATTTAATTAAAGCATCATAGATGGCCAAACAACGAAGAATTTACCTTGACTTTCCACAAACTGACAAAATATGGAAATGTAAAATATTTCGTAAAACAAGCCACGACTTTATGTAAAGCTATTTAAAATGTATCCATTGGCACAGAAGGCGATAAGAAAACAAAAGATTATAATCTCATAAAACTCTATTTCACTAATACACATTAGCATAAACCTACGAATATCACGAATAATGCTATCACGAATCCTGCAATCTGATTGGCTAACGTAATCACTATCTATCCTGTGATAGAGAGCGAGTAGCGAAAACGAACAAATGCATACTCAAGTTTCGACGCAAATCTTTAAAAAATCTTTAAAAATCGATTATAGAAAATACAAGACTGTATCAAGAAAAGGGATGGAGGTTTTGGACAGTACAGATAAATAAAAAACTGAAGAATTGTGGCAATATTAATTTTATCACGAAAAAGCGCGGCCGTCAGATTTCACTGAGATATTCATGAGCAAACAACTGACTACTGAGATAACGATGTTATTTTAAAATGATTTCCTCAAAAAACAGAAGAATTCCAAAAGACAACTTATTCACATGTATTCAAGAAGAATTTTAAAACAGTAAGAACAGATAAAACAATAAGGAAAGTGCAAGTTAACTGACAAGAATCTTAAGCGAATTGTAAACATGGCACGGCTTTGAATGATCTGACAACTAATTATTTATGAATAAATCCGTTCAGTGTATCACTCATTCGATTAGAAAAGTTCGCAAAAACCGATAAAAAGCTGGAAAATATTGGAAAAATAGTTTTGACCGTAAAAATAGAGACAAAAAGCTATACGGAGTTTAGTTTAGTTTAGTTTGGAGTTTAAGCTTATATGTTCAGATCGAGTTCGCAAAGATGAATGAAAACCGGTGCCGCCGGTCGATCGTCGATTTGTTCTGTAAAGTTTTCAGTGCCATATTTTGTTTTCAATACTATAATATTAGCTAGTAGGTTTATGCTAAAACAATTAGACTACTCGTTCTCGTTTTCTATGAGTCACTAGTCGATTAGGCGCTACGCGCCTCATCGRCTATCTATTGACTCCTAATGAAAACTCGACCTCGTAGTCTAATTGTTCAAGAGGCTTATATGAAGTATTAACCAACGTACAGAGTAGCAAACTCAGAATTGGTCTTGAGAGCAATTTACAAGTCATTGCTTAAAATAGAACAAGCAAAGTCAAATATAGTTAATTGGTGGTAAGTTGGAAGTCTTATTTTGAGACCTTTTAAGGACGACAAAAGTTTCTGGAATCATGAAGATTCCTTTCGGTTTTTGCTGTCTGTTTTTTTAAAAATGAATATCCAATTTTTAACTTAGTTTCATAAAGGGGTTCAGTCTCGCCAGCCATGTTGCTTTTATATATAAAAAGATTTCACTGATTTCCAAAATATAAATAAATATAAATAAATAAAATACTGGCAACTGTGTTGACCTACAACATGGCGTGGCTGCTGTAAAATCTATCTCACTGGTGGACACATTAAGACGAAATTTTTTTCAATAATGAGCAATAATGGCAAAAAGCGCCAAAATCTAGACTTTCGTATGAGTTTTGATCCAAATTTTCGTTTTGGGTTAACACGCAAACCTTTTTTAAACAGTTAGAAACTGATGTACTATGATAAAATGCTTGTTTGAAGCGGTATTTTCGATCGTACAAAGATTTTTTGTTGCATTTGTGTTAGAATGTTGCTTTGTCAGGCTTTTTTATAGGAACAATATATGGGAAATAATAAGCAAATGAAGGCCTAAACCTTATTTTCGAATAAACTTTTTGCTTTGGGTTAACAATTTTATTCCTTTTTCATCGGTCATCTCCACTTCCAAACAAGTTAAACTTTCTGAATAACAAGATTTTAGCCTTGTACAACAGCCTTTCTTCAAGAAAATAGTTTTTGGCGCTCACTGCTCGAATACGAAAAGAATTCTCTCTTAATCTTTAACCAAAAAGATTTAAAAACCGATCGATTCCTACTGGGTTTTTTTTTACATATTTTTCAGGATCATCAATAAGAGATTTGCATTGCTACCAATAAAACGGAAATAACCAATCACCATGTCTCAATTATGTATTCACGTGACCGAACTCTTCCACAGCCTCACCAGGCAATTTCGATTTTCAAGACTAAAACACTTGTAAAATCAATCTGTGATAGTTCCTAAGAGGTACTTGTGCTAAGACCACTTCTGAAAGTCTGTGGTTAAAATGTCTACTATATTAGTCATAAAGCTATAATCTATTTTGATAGACAACCGTGGGTTTTTTCCCCACTGCTTTATATACCGATTTTGAAAAGATTAGCTTGGATAAGTAAAAAAGTTATGTTTAAGTTGACGTACGAACTCGAAGGTATGGAAAAATCTCAGATGTCAATTAATATTCCTTTGGGAGTGCTTCGTATCTATCGCCTTTTTTGTTGTCTTGTCTCCTAACTTTCTCTCTCTCTCTATTTTTTCAACCACGTTGCAGCTCCTTATTCTTTCCATCCTTCTCCTCGCCTCGGAAAAAATCCCAAAATAGAACTTAGAAATTACCAGAAGCCTTTTACATTTCATCTGCTTTAAATCAGTAACCATGACAGTGTGGTTAAATCACTAGAAATTCAAGTAGTTATCATTTTAAAACGGGCGAGCTCCTTCTACAAACCACAAAAGCTGCCACATTTATACATGTCAACTTTTAGGCCTCATGCTATTTTGCCTAATGGCCTAACAGCCGTTTATTCCGATACGATGCCTAGAGAAAAAAATCTTTTTGATGGGAAAAACATAGCTCTTTAACTAAAATTGCGTTCCCTTAAGGCAGCAGTTTTCTGATCTATTTATTTATTTGAAATGCTAATTGAGCTAAGAATATGTTTTTTCTCTTGTCATGCTGAAAAGAAAGGTGAATGAAAAATTTTATCAAGTTATTGATCGATGATTTTTGAACAAGAAAGCTTTGCTCGTTTTAACACCTCTTGTCGTAGGATTAGAGAACAGTGTTTAGGATGACAGGGAAAACAAGAGAAAGGTGAATGAAAAATTACATTAACTGATTGATCGATGATTTTTGAACAAAAAAGCTTTGCTCGTTTTAACACCTCTCGTAATCGTAGGATTAGAGAACAGTGTTTAGGATGACAGGGAAAACAAGAGAAAGGTGAATGAAAAATTACATTAACTGATTGATCGATGATTTTTGTACAAAAAAGCTTTGCTCGTTTTAACACCTCTTGTAATCGTAGGATTAGAGAACAGTGTTTAGGATGACAGGGAAAACAACAGAGAGAGGGGAAGAGAAAGCGAAAGGATGAGATGAAAATAAGAGGGGTGCCTAAAAATGTTACATAACGTCTGAGAGTCACGTTGAAGGATTCTGGCTTCTCTGCCATCGGATTTATTATCTGCAGCTGCAAATATGGTTCGTCGATATATTTAGCAAAATAAAACAACACCGCAACACCACAGGGAACTGTTGTGAATAATTGACAAACTCTTCCAGAGCAGTCAATAAATAAAGAAATAAGAATTTTATCGCTAGCATCAGGACTGCCTTAAGACAAGGAGGTGCTTAGTAAGAGGTGCACTTTACCATCCCCAGAGTCTGCGAGCAGACCTATCTTTGTTGGAACTGAATTGCTTTTAATTCCTTTAAAATCGTAAATAGAATACTGAGCTGAGAATCAATATTAATTTATTTGCAGTGTGTTAGAAGGCAGTAATTTTATCTACGAGCGTTTTCAGAAGTTTAAACACATGAATAATCGGCTCATCCTTTTTAGATCCAATCTTCGTCAAAAACAACTAATAGTATGATTGAGGTGAAACTTGACCTACTATCCAAAGTAGATTACTCCAACTCTCTTTGTTCAGGGATAAAAGATGGGAAGTAGCATATTTGACAATGAGTCAGTTCCGCTTCTGTTGTTTGTGGAAGTGAAATAAACGCAGGGCACTTAGTGTTACTTACTTCAACACAAGCCGCGCATTTTCTTCTTCTTTTCAAGGTATAAGCGATAAGGATTACCTGCTGTACGGATAAATTTTAAATCCGCTTTCCAACGGTGTGTTGGTTTAGGGTTATGCATTCGATCATGTTTAAAGAATAGTGGCCAAGTTTTCTTTGGGCGAAAAAGCGCCGGGAAGCTAAACCTGACAGCATTGATCAAAAAAACGGTTAATCAATAATTGTATTTACTTTGGTACTTCCTTTGAAAATTCGAAACTCCAAAGGACTAAGCAAACAATCAATTTGGTCAACTCGGGGACAATTTGCTTCATTACGTAGACAAACCACAAACGATTACAGCGATGATGGTTCGAGCAATGAACGAACGCGGGCCCGGTTTGGTCGCAATCGCACATCTGTTGGTGACAATAATCTGATGCGTGTGCATGTGTGTGTATGGGTAGATTTATTTTTGGTTTTGAGTAGTGGGTGGTAGAAAACGCATGCCCTATTGCATCCGTACGTACTTTCACATCTGTTGGTGACTATAATCTGATGCGTGTGCGTATGTTTGGGTAGTTCTATTCTTGGTTTTGAGTAGTGGGTGGTAGAAAACACATGCCCTATTGCATCCATACGTACTTTCAATGTCGACAGACACTTGTTTACTACGTCATCGTACTACAGGAATAGCTCAAGGCAGTCCTGCTATTTCCAAGACTTCAATTCACTTCATTCCAATGATAATACCACCAATTATCTTATTCAGCTAGTCAAAGGAACGTGTTTTGGGGGCTTAGCATTGTGTGATGTTTACTTGATACTGATGATAGCCGATCAATAGGCTGTCGATTATGCCTAATTTCGACACGTCAATGAGAGGGGGCTGGATCTAGTAGGGGAAATAAAAACAAGCCACTTCTCTTCTGTTAGCTTGATTGAGCACGGTCGCTTGACAAGCGTATGTTTAAAAAAASACTAGCTACGGAGTTTTCACTTAAATAGAATAGCGGATAATCAGAATATTTATCATTGACACGTTCAGAGGATAATATATCGACTCCTCAAGAGATCAATCTCGTCGCAAAAAATAGAACATGAACAGACGAAAATAGGAAGGTATTTGACCAAATCAGCACGAAATAACCGGGCAATATGAATAACACCAACGGCACACTGGTATTGCAGCAACTATGTTCTCCAGTAATTGTGGAGAATTCCATCTACGTAAAGGCAGTCAAGATGTTTGCGTACTGCTTGGTGCTTTTGATGTCAAGTTTTGGAAACATTCTACTTGTCCTGATCGTTTTTAGGCATCGAAAAACCGGTATGTTTACAACCACAAACTGCTTCATCGTTAACATGGCCATCTCAGACCTCATTATTCCATTATTCGCCGTGCCTAACAAGCTTTTCAATCTAGAAGTGGATTCGAACTTTAGGTGGTTTCTTGGTGGGAACGTGGGGTTGATGATGTGTAAATGCTTCAACTTTTTACTGGATGTTTCTACCGCTGTTTCCATTCAGAGCCTAGTTGCTATCGCTATGGACCGATTCTATGGCGTGTTGTATCCACTCCGCGCAGTGCGACACCGAAATTCCAAAGCTTGTGCTCTTGTGATCCCGCTGATCTGGTTCAACGCTATTGCCTTCCACGGAGTCTACTTCTATACCTTCAGGCTTATCGAGTTCCAGGGGAAAAATTACTGCTTAATCAACTGGCAACCCTATTTCGATAGCAAGGCTGCACAGAAACCATTTTATCTGGTCCAGTTTACGTTGCTTTACGTATGCCCTTTGATACTTATAGCTTTTTTGTATGGGTGTATCGTGACTAAGCTCCGCTCGAGCACCACCTCCTCCGCTAAGTGCCGAAAAAGAAGAGCTTCAGAACAGTATCGTAACCGTAAGGTAACGAAAATGTGTCTGGTTGCAGTGCTTGTGTTTGCTTTCTGCTGGGCTCCCATACACGTCTATGGGCTCTTGTTTCACTTTGTTTGGGACTGGATTGTTCCTTGTGGAATGCAAGAGATTGACTTTCTGGTGTTCTTTGTAGCTTATTCGTACGCTGCAATCAATCCGTGCATCTTTTTCACCTTCAACGAAAATTTTCGTCGAGGTTTAGTTAGGGTGCTTTGTTGTAGGTCAGTTAAGCGAAGGATGAGAAGGCCAAGCTGGTCTTCGTGGAGATCGAGGAGTACGTCAGGAATTGGGATACGAATAATTGAAGCGAACTGCAGTTCTGGTTCGCGTGAGGATAAAGTATGAACAAAAAACGAAAGATCTCAATCAGACTTCTGGTATTCGCGGAAATAAAAACGGTGAAAAAGAAAGTAAAAAATCACAAGGCCAGATAAGAATGAACAAAAAAAAAATCTACATAAAGTTTTTATTGCTAAAATGAAGATTCAAGACAAATCATAAAACAATTGCATTTGGATAGCACTGTCATCATCGTTGCAAGCAGAAAAAAAAAGATAAATGAATAAAAGTATCATAAGGGTTTTTGAAGAATTAATGGTTTAATGAGGGATTCATGTCTAAGAGAATCGGAAAAAAAAAAAAAAAAAAAAAAACAAAAAAAAAAAAAAAAAACTAGTCGTCTAATTCTAATTTATGAAGTACATCACGAAATCTATATTATAAACAAACACTGTTTTTAAGTAAGAACAGAATGAGTTGCCGAACATGCGATCGAGGAGTACTTCAGGAATTTGATACGAATAATTGAAGTGAACTGCAGTTTTTGTTCGCGTGAGGATAAAGTATGAACAAAAAACGAAAGATCTCAATCAGACTTCTGGTATTCGCGGAAATAAAAACGGTGAAAAAGAAAGTAAAAAATCACAAGGCCAGATAAGAATGAACAAAGAAAAAAAAAATTCGTAAAAAACAAAACCAAATCGTAAAAAAAATCGCATTTGGGTAGCACTGTCATCATCGTTGCAAGCAGAAAAAAAAAATAAATAAATAAAAGTAAGGGTTTCTGAAGAATTAATGGCTTAATGGAGGATTTATGTCTAAGAGAATTGAAAAAACAAAACAAAACTAGCCATCTAATGCTAATCTATGAAGAACATCACGAAATCTAAATTATAAACAAACACTGTTTTTAAGTAAGAACAGAACGAGTTGGCGAACGTGCAAGAGGAACGTTTTAAAAAATCTTCCTGGTCAAATTTTGACTAAGATTATCAGAAGTGCACGAAAAGAAATGGAAGATAACATCGAGGAATAAAAATTAAATAGGAACTAATTATGATTTCGTCCTCCTCAAATGACGAACAAGATAGCTAGCAAGATAAGACGTAGTACTTAAAAAGACTAGACCCACTCAGAATAGACAAATAAAGAAGATAAATTGAAATGATATAGATTTTAGATATTTTATTCTTTAAATAAACTGAGCTGTGAGTGTTTTAAGGGGAACGGGGGGGGGGGGGTGGGTTAGAAGGGAATAAGGCAGGTTTATAGCCATGTGCCTTACTATGCGAGAATGACTGTTTTGCCGCTTTCGTGCACGATAAGGGAAGCCATTTCAGTAGCGTTACGTCATGTTGTACCGTGTACGTGATGTAATTCTAGTTTACTACTGCAGAAACCGATCTAGCTTCAAGGTAAAGAGGTGTTAACGTCTATCAAAACGGGCGTGGCGTACATAGAATTCTTTAGCCCCATCTCGGATTGAAACACGATGATAACGAGTCGAGTTTTGCCATCAAAACCCCGACCATTCCCTTAAATTTTTAACAGGCTTTCGATATGATTTCACTATAACTCGATTTTATGTTTTTAAACCGAATTTGTGATTGAAAAAGGCTAAACAACAATGGATAACAAGTCTATAATATTGGATTTTGGACTTTGATTCATCCGTTTATCCGCTTTAAAACAATGCCCTATTTCTAACATTTCAAGCCGTTTCTCCTTCAAGTACATTAAGACCGAGGCACGAGAGTAAACATTCGCTTCTGACTGAAATAATTATCGTTGGTCTCTACAATCAAACAGTCAAAGTAGTTCCGGGTATGTTTGTGCTCCTTTTGTGGGGACCATTATGAGCAACCAGTGGTATCTTCGCTCATCAGTGTAATAACTTCATGCAAAGTAAAATATCAGACCAAATTGTACGAAGTTGAAAAAAACATTTCCTGTTTGGAAAGAAAACTATCCTTTCATTGGTTCAATACCTTTGAAAAGGCAAAGTCGCCTTTTGTAGATATAAAATAAACGAAGGATTCAAAAATATTATCAGTAAAAAAAAAGGGGGATTTTGAAATTGTTGTTGGAACTCAGGGAACTTGAAACTGCGATTGATCAACAAACCCACAGCACTCCATTCCTCTATTTTTCTCTTGGGCAAACCAATTAGGCTAATACATTAAAATGTAAACAATACATAGCACGCATATCTAATTACCAGGATATTCAAAAAGGGGGAAAATAGGCAAAGACAATAAGAATGAGTTTGAAGTTAGAATGAATAAATTCAAAAGTTTTCCAACCAATTTCCTTTGAAATGTTTCAGAATGTTTTTTTTAAAAATTCATTTGAGTAAAACACTAGATGACTTATCTTTTCGTCTTTAAGTGAAAATGTTAAAAAGGTCACCTAAAATGTCTATTAATAGTGCTTAGCTTTTCACAGTATTTAGTGATTCTCAGAAATAAAAATATCAATAATTTCCATACGCTTATGTCTTTTTGATAAAAAATCCAAACTTCAGTTCCAATATTGAATCGAAACTCAAAACAAACGGCTCAGTTTTTTAAGCCCCTTTGCTAACTGAAAATATARATTTAGACCAAATTTGGCCTCCTTAAGGTAAGTTGTTTAGCTTATTGGAGACGGTTTTAGTATTTTACACCGAGGATTATTAAATGGAATCTTTCGTTGAAAGTTAAACGTAAAAGAATTTCAAACACAGGGCGGCAAGATAATACTAGATGCCGAAACGCCTCTATCGCAAAAATGTTATTTTTCAAACTGAGATCAAATGTGACAAACTTCGGGATTTAAATACGATAAGATTTAGTTGTTTTCTTTTTGTAGAACTTGATAAATAAAGACGGCTTCACTAACAACGTTTTTGTTTTCGGATAATTTTCTTCCTCATCGTCGTCGATGGTTTTTACAACAACAAGAACGGCGTCTCACGCACTTGCAAAGACAGATCTCCCCCTTATTACGACTATATTTTTATCTATAGCTTATTGCTATTCCTTAGGTGGTATCAATGGGGTGTATAGCAAGCAGCCAGAAACATCTTGTTAATAATACGCTTTCCTGTATATGCGTGGGATTTAACGCCTCCTAAGATCCAAATATATTTATGAAGATTGTGAAATCGCCCTCAACAATTTGCTACTTCGAAACATGTTGGTATCAAGATCACTCGTGTTTAATGGTATGATATTGATCATTTTAAAATCCACTAAAACTCAAACGAGAAAACTGGAAAAAAATCTCGCTGAATTATTCAGAGCGAATTCTTAAAGTAAAGCTGCCCAGATATTGATCAAAATAAGAATTTGAAAAATGTGGCTTTTTTGTTTTTGAACAATATTATAAACAGGACAGTTTTGGTTTTGAATGAAACGCAATTTATCTTACTTCGAACAAGTATAAAAGACATGCGCATTTTTCCATTAATATAACATAATATAATATAATATGGCTATTATCTCTTATGCTTGTAGATTATGAGGCGCCAAATATCTAGTATCGCGTGTTGTATTGGGTAAACATTTGATTTGGTGGTAATTAAGCCATTTGAAAGGTTTGTGTGCTAGCAATTTGTGAACATGAGATCGAAGATATGAGAAAGATTTTTTCTAAGGTTATTAAGATACGAACGAACAAAATGATCAATCCATGATTTTTGTCCTGAATGGCTTTGCTGATAGAGAGAAGGAATTGAGATAATGCGTGATCGCCGAAGTGAAGAAATAATGAGTGAAAGGAAAGAAAGAAAGAAAGAGGGATACAAAGAAAACAAAAAAACAAAACAAAACAAAAACAAAACAAAAACCAAAACAAAAGAAAACAAAAACCAAAGAAAACAAAAACATGAAAGGAAAAAAACAATAAAGAAAGAAAAACCGCAGGTTTAGAAAAAATGAGAGTAAAAAGGTAAGGAAGAAAAGATAATTAATTTGAAAAAAATCAATGACACAATAAATGAACAAAAACAATCCCTTGGTAGAAGGAAAACTGAAAGGAAGCCAAAAAGAAATAAAGGGAGAAGAAAAAACGAACAAAGAGAACCGCAAGTTTATACAAAGAAATGAGAGTAAAAAGATCGACAAAGAAGAAAAATGAATACAAAAATGAAGGAATAACGAATTTCTTGGTAAAAGAAAAATTGAAAGGAAGAATAAAAAGAGGGAAAGGATAAAAACAAAACAAAGCAAACTGCAAGTTTAAAAAAAATAAAAAAAT